TCTAGCTTTGACATAAAAGAAAGAAATCAGTGAAATAAAGAAGACAGAAGAGTACTCATTTTATGTAAACTGAATTTTTAAGAAAAGTTCAAAGAATTTAATAGAGGATAGACTTTAAAACAAGTATTGGAAACAGTCACATATACATTTGTAAGCAAAATAAAAACTAGAGAAGTTAGAACTGTGATCCTTGCAGAGAACTGCATAAAACCCAATAGAAAATGCATCACACAACCAAATGTAAAACTGAAGACTTTATGTTTAAAGAATGAAAAATAGGAGAAACCCTTTGCAACTTTTGGTTAGAAAAAAGTTTCATAGATTTGATACCAAAAAGTAGAAATCATAACTAACTGATAAATTATGCTATAAAACTTAGTCTTCTGCTCCTTGTAAGACACTGCTAGGGAAAATGAACAAACATCTTAGACCTGAAAGAAATATATGTAAATTAGATGTCCAACAAAGGTCTTGTATCTAGATTATTTTGAAACTCAACAATAAGAAAACAAGTTTGTTTTCTGTTGCTGTGATAAATCCCATAACCAAAAGCAACTTGGAGAGGAAAGGGTTTATTTTCCCTTACAGTTCCAGTCCATCACTAGGAAGGGCAGGGCAGGAACTTCAGTACTAGCTGGAACAGAGACCTTGAAGGAATGCTGCTTACTTGCTTACTGGTTTGTTCCCCTGGTTCCTGGTCACCTAATATATATATATATGTATATGTATGTATAACCCAGGACCATCTGTCTAGGAGTGGCACTGCCCAGAGTGGGCCGGGCCTGCCTATATCAATCAACAGTCAAGAAAATGCCTCAGTCTACTCCTACAGTCCAATCTGATCTAGTCAGTTCCCCAGTTGAGACTCCCTGAGCTCACTAGGCTGTGTAAAGTTGACAGTTAAGCTCACTGTAAGACCATGTGTTAAGTGGACAAAATAATTAAACTGACCTTTTACCAGTGAAGAAAACTAGATAGTAAATAAGCAATGAAAGGATATCAATATGAATACTCAAGAAGGCAATGCAAATTGAAATCACAGTGGGGTGATTAAAATGACAAACACTCGTCACAATGGAATATTGATAAGCATACAGAAAAATTGGAATTCTCTAACATTGCTAGAGGGAGTATAAAATTACATAATTACTTTGTAAACTAGTTTGGCAGTTTGTCAAGAAGTTAACACATACCTGCTCTGTGATCCGCTCATTCCACTTCTAGGTAGTTAGTCAAAGGACGTGAAAGCATATAGCCGTAGAAGTATTTGTATATGAGCAATGGTTGCAAATATATTTGTTTTATAATTTAAGATTCTTTTAAGAATTTCACACATGTACTGTATTTACATCATTTTCATCGCTTTCTCCCACTCCTTCCACATCCTCCCCACTCCCTCTTATTTTTCTTTATTGTCACATGTGTGATGATATATATAGCAACATATATAGCAACCTACTGAGTCCATTTAGTGGTGCTAGTATGTACATGTTTAAGTCTGACTGCTTGGGAATGCATAACCTGTAGGGAGCTTATCCCTGGAGAAAAATGAGCTTCCCTCTCTCAGCAACCATTACTTGTCTGTAGCTCTTCATCCTGAGATGGGACCTTGTAAAATTTTCCCCATCCACATTTCTATGTCAACTGATGTCACTGTGCAGGTCTTGTTTAGGCAACCATATTGTTGAGATTTCTTGAGTACAGCTGCTCTGTCTTGTCTGAAAGATACTAGCTAGCAGGAGGTGTCCTTATCCTCTGGCTCTGGCTCTGCCTCCTTTTCAACAGTGTTCTCTGAGCCTTAAGAATAGGGGTTGCATTTTAGATGTATCAGTAGAGGGGCTGAGCATCCCATGATCACTTATTCTCTGCATTTTGATCAGTTATAGATCTCTCTAATACTCTCCATCTGTTGCAAAATAAACTTCTTTTATGAGAGGTGAGAGGTGCACTTACCTGTGGGTATAAGGATAAGTATTTAGTATGTTTTAGGGAAATGCCAGTAGTAGGTTCTCATCTAGGGTCTATGATGTCTCCAGCCATAGGTGTTTTGTTAAGCTTACAGTACTAGGCCTGAATTCCCTCCTACTGAGTGGGTCTTAAGTCCAATTAGACAGTTATTGGTTGCTCCCAAGATAAAAGTGCCACAATTGCACCATTCCATTAGGGATATCTTGGTGGGCTGGTCATTGTTGTAGCTTATAGGTTTTACAACTGGGTAGGACTGTTGTTTGCTTTTCTCTCCTGGCAGCTTGCATACACCTTCCAGTACTATGAGAGCTGGTCCTCAGGGAGGAGGCTTCCAGGTCAGTTCCAGCTTGATTCTTCAAGTCCTATGTCTGAAAAGTGTGTGGTTTCTTGAGCAATAGGGTCTTACCATCAAGTTCTGGAAGGTAACCAAGGGCACTGGCAGTAGCCTTTGTTGTTTTGGGAGTTCTCTTAACTACCCTGACCCACACCTGAAAGGGAGGTTTCCTATGCCTTGGACTAGGATTTTTGTTAGAGAGTCTATGGTTCTTGAGAAGAACATTATCGCCCAGTGTGGTATAACTCCATTTGAACTCTGTCTCTGTCTCTCTGTCTCTTTCTCTGTATATATGTATATATGTATGCATATACATGCACATATATACATGCATATATATATATATATATATATATATATATACTTTATATGCATTATTAAGTAAGCTTATGTTTCCCTATGTTCTTCAAACATACTTGGTGTTACTTATCACTCTTTCCTCCCCCCCTCTGCATTACCCCCCTCTTCCCCAATCAAAGCTCCCCCCTCATTTTTCCCTTTTCACTCTTGATAGCACCTACTATCCCTCTCTCTAGAGCTTCTCCCCCTTGCCCCCCTTGGTCTCTTTCTACTTTCATAGCTTCTGTGGTTACTTACAAATTTATTTGTAATGACCCCAAGCTATAATAGGTATTACCCAAACGTCTTATCAGCGTATGAATGGTAAACCAAATGTAGTGTATCCAAACAGTAAAATGCTGTGAAACAATGAAAAGG